TAATCAGTATTATAATAAAACCTGCATAATGTGTATTGACTATTATGAGTATACAGGAGAAGGAATTTCAGAAAAGTGCAGAGTTAGGTGGGAATAGGTGGGAAGTCCACTGACAGGGTCTTCCAGATTCATCCAAATCATCCCAAGGTTTTGCGTTCAGCCACAGGCTTTCTTAATAATATATATCAGCACTGTTGTTAAATATTATTTATAAGGAATGTACCATGTATGTTCAGTTGGGTATGTAAATAAGAATGTCACGAATAACTGTCACTTTTTCACCATTCTTAAGTTTTAACTCTTTTATAATGCAGTCTCTCTTAAACCGAGCAAAATGTATATTGAGTTTCTTTGTATTTCTGTTGTGCAGAACTTTAATATGTATGCCACTAGCGATCACCCTATTTTCTTTTTTTAAAGTGCAAGTGTAGAAATGTAAGAACACTGACAGAGTCCCACTTAGAAATACTCTTAAACTCTTCGATTGACTGATATTGGGGAACTGGCCCAGGATCAATGAAAAGAGCCCCATTTGCAAATGCTCTGAAAGTGCTTTCCAGAGAGGAAAAAGTATTTCAGTTACACCTCTCTGTATTACTTGCCAGTAGCAGAGACCTTGGGTGGGAAGCTAAGTTTTATTGAACGTAGCACAGTGAAACTCTAGACATCCCTCGGAGAAATCTATCACAAGACTTTGACCCTGAGATTTCTGGCCAGCCCTGAATACTTAAAGCAATATGTTGTGACCTTTGCCAAAGTGCTGGTTGCAGGGATCTAGGATAGCCTTGTCTTTTTTTTCTTTCAAATAATTTTACAAAGCACATCTGCTACAAGGAAACAGATATCCCCAGTCTGTCAATTAAGATGAGTGACAAATCAGGGCGTTTGTAGTCTGGAGACATTGTGACAATCCCACTGTCACCATCATTCACACAACAAGCTCAATCAGTTTATTTTCCTATTTCTTACCTTACTTTAGCACAATCTATCACGTTCAAATAAACCCACTAAACACGTGATCCTGCTGCTGAATGAAAGGATGACTAATATCAAAGACCAAATGTGCCTTTGTTCAAGACTCTTCATTCTAAGTGTCCCTTTATCTAAGTACATTGTATGTTGTCTGTGTTATAGCCTCATGGAATTGGCTTCTCAGGGTGTCAAGTATACACATGGACATGCAAACACAATGTCTTGACGACTCAAGTGTCTGACCATTCAGTGAAGAAGTGGATTAATCTCAAGGAAACTAAAGATGAATGCACAGGATTTACAAAAGTCTTAAAGGTCCCATGTCATGCTTTTCCGGTTATTACCCGTCCCCTTGTGTGTTATGTAGCTTTTTCTGCATGTAAACGGTCTGCAGAGTCACAAACCCTCAAAGTACACCCTGTAGCGAATACAACTCTAACACAGAAAAGACCTGTCTGTGCTGCCCCAGAACGCCTCGTTGGACTTTTCTCTTTTTCCATTGTTTTCTTCCTGGGTACAGTGACGTGCCCATACCCAAATGGACCAATCCGTGGAGCTGTTACGTCCGCGGAGCCGTTAGGTTAAGTACGTGGATTGGTCCAAATGGACCAAACCGCGGACTTCCTCACACACACACACACACTCAATATTTTCTCAGCTGCAGCTCCGCCAAATTTCTCCTCCCTGAAACGGCGGGACGTGGCGAGGCTGTGAGTCGGTGTGTGAGCACACACACAAACTCCCAGCCAGGCTGCGGGTGTGTGTGTGTGTGTTCGGGCTGGTTTTGGCTGGGTTTCGCTGTGTCTCGCTGTCTCGCAGACGGCCACTGGCTCATAGGGAGGGGGGGCAGGAGCTCCAACAAGCCATTTAGGACAGAGAGTGAATACACATACTATACAGAGATGCTGTATGAGAAACCAATGTGAGTTTGGAAAATTGCACAATATACATCTATTCTAGTAGACCTCAACAATGGAATTATGATCAGTAGAAATGGCCATGACATGGGACCTTTAATATTAGCAAATGTTACTATAGCTTCCACCTCTTCATCTGAGAGCCATCTAGTAGCTCTCAGAACATTTCTGCTGTGCTTCTATGATTATGTGCCTACTTTGTCGCCTGGGATAAGAATGCATCCAATTTTATTTCCTTCAGAAGCAGTCAAGAGGTGCTCACAAACTGCATGCATTTCATTCCGGCCACACAATTTCAATCCAATCTTCTAACAGATGTAAAATGGAGATGACATCCTTGACTGCTATTACTGTGTCAAGGACCATGTCCAATACAGTAAGCTAAAAAAACAGAGCGGCCCTCTAAACATCTTGTGCTTTTGCATCCTTGCCAGACAACAGCCATGAAATAGCTCATTCTAATGCAGGCAGTTTCCCAGCAGCCCCCCCACACACACACACTCTGTCAAAACTATCCTTATGGATGTTAATCTGAGTCCCACGCCTTTGACAGAATGAAGTCCTCAACTCCCTCTAAAGCTCCTAAAGTCGAGCTGTAGCTAGTCAGACTAATCTGCAGACGTGGAGTGATGCAGAAGTGTATGCCAAACATGACATTCCAATAGGGACCCCCCCACACCCCCCCGCTGTTCCGAGTTCCAAAATAGACGTGTAAGAAACGACAAAAGCAGCAGGCGAGCCCAGCATTGTCTCCGCATGACCTCAGTAAATAAATGGAAGTGAACAGTGGGACAGACCAGACAGCTCCTATAACTGTCACTTTAGTTGTGAGGATGGCCTTTTTTCTTTTACATGATATAACGAAGAATGTTCTTACTGTGTGTGTCAGCTACCGAAAATAGTGTGTGTATGTTTTACAAGGCCATTGTTTGAAATGCAAAACGTTTCACCGTTTTAGAAGAACATCAAACCTACTGACAGACACCGAGTGTACATTAGCCATCAGTCAGGTACTGAAGTATTAACACTAAAACTTTGTTCTTTTTCTTGCTGCTCATAATGACAATGAATGCCAATATACACTGAGGATTATCTCTTTCCGCTTAAAGCAAGACTTCACAGCAATTTGGTCCGGTGAAGGCCGTTCTCCCGTCGTTAAAAAGACGTTTCAGTGGGCTGGTCATTAAAATGTGGCAAGCAGTGGCTGACATGTTCATCCAGAGGCATGCTGCTTGCCTCATCATGTTCTTTAATCATCGCATGGGAAGAGAGCGGCCCACACGGGGGTCACTTTCAATGAGCCGTGCTCCGAAACGGACACTCAGACGGTTCGGGATGCAATTAGAATCCAATTAAATCCTACATGTCCTGACCCAGGAGCGACTATGTAATGAAATCCGAGGGCAACTGCTGGATGGCCCGAACAGAAAGAGAATGAGTGACTGGCAGTCAAGGCCTGTCATGGCACTACAGTAAATAATGTGTTCTTATTTCACTTGAATGGTTAAAAAGGCATAAAGAGGGAAAGAGAGAGGAGTGGGAACAAGAATCCAAAATCAGATAATGACAGCAGGGAGAGATTCAGTTATAGAAAGAGAGGAAGCAACAATGTCAGGACTCTTAATCCCTAGGACACACAAGTTATCAATCTCCTGTAAATGTCAGGCACTAGGATATGCCCTCCTGAATGATGGATATCTGCCTTGTTTTGTTTTTTTCATCTTCTCTACATTGTATTATTGAGTGAGCGCCATCGAGGGCTTAGAGTCTATCTTCAGATGAAATACTCCCTCCTTATAGTGGCAGCAATACCTGAATCCCAATTACCCCTGTGGAGAGTGTGCAGTGGGGGAAAGCAAAGAGCAATAGTGCTATTTTTTAAGTTGTGTCACCATGGATAATACCACCTCCTGTAATAAAGCCTTAAAGATTACAGGGAAGAGAGAACAACCTTCGATCCATGTCATTCTTCAATTGTTTACAATGCTTTTCCTAAGAATTGAGTGGGGCGGCGATTAAGATTTACTTTGCTGAGGACACTCTGGAGCAACCTCAGGGACCCATGGTGGTGAAAACAGACCCAACACTGGCCTATCTGCATGGTAAAAACAACAACACATTCATTCATTCCCCAAGGCAACTGTTTTATTCGGTTTCAAAAGCAAACAATTAATGATATAATCATTTGGAAAGGAACTGTCTACTGTACAAATATAAAACTAACCAACTCTACAGGGACAGAATAATGTGGTGAGGGCCTGAGGTTACTAAAGACTCACACTCCAGGTCTTCACAGGAATATCACAGGGATCTTGTGGGATTATTGTGTGGAGAATCTGAGTTGTATTCCAACTAAAGCAACTACTCAGATAAAAACCCTAAAAAAAGCAGCCACCAATTCCAGTCCCTGCAAACTGCCACACTTGGCTGTGGCTCGCCTCATGCTCAAGGGAAACGGGCTGCATAATTCTCAAAGAGAGAACCAATTAATTGTAAACATGTAATGCTCTGAGTGCACGTGCCTGCACCAGTTGCTGCATATCAATATGGATCTGTTTATTTCAGGCAGAAAGTTTAATTTCTGAGGGAGTCGGCTGATTAATTAATTAGTACTTATTAATCAGATTAAAATTTGTGTTAACAGCTGCTCTTCTAATGACATTCATTGCATATGTTCAAACTAGAAAATGCAGTCATGGTTTATACAAATCTTGACAGCTGGAAAGAAATACTGGTTCTTCATAATAAACTGTTAAACACTGGAGAGCCTCACAATAATCATATTATAGCCTATTTGATACCTCAAGCATGATCTGAACTTTGGTGAAGTTATGGGGAACAAATGTGGAAAAGTGTCAATGACATGTTTAATCAAGGAAATTACAGCGGTAATGGATTGCTTGTGTGTACGTGTGTCATTAAGAGGGACTGTGTGTCACAGTGAGGTGTCGCCTAATGAGGAAATTACAGGCTACGTGCAAAAGGCTAAGCATAATGAACACATCACAGACCCGGTACCGCCACAAATGAAAACGCCAACATCCAACATAGCAGGGGAGCTACACACTAATGGGCCCGTGTGATGACTAACCAACACCGTGTCCCTCTTACCTTGAGCTTGTGTGGAGTGGATGATTAAGGAGGAAATTAAAATCCATGTGGCGCGCCACATCGATCTGCTCCAGGAGTCCTCAAACATTGTCCCAAACTGGGCAGAATGGACAACAAGTGCCCGGTGTGCTTCTGTGTCCGTGTCCCGGTGTGGTTCCGCTGCTGTCCACCTAACGCCGGGTCTCCGTACGGGAACCTGCCGGCACTGGATCCGGGAAAAGCGCACCGATCTGGGAGCGCAAAACCGAGCCTCTGTTCCTGCAGCCTGTAGTGACCGGAGAAATTCAGAGTGTAAATTCGTTTTTACAGTTATAATGTGTTGATATAATGTTCCACAGACTCCGTAGGATAGAGAGATATTTTCCTAGAAGTAGCAACGCAGCCAGTTGGTTTCTCTGAAGTATTGGATGCAACTCAGTCAGATGAATCCAGGTTAGTCCATTGCTCGCTGCACCTGTAACAAGGCAGGATCATACTTTTTCACGGACTCTTCGTGAGTCCTGAGGGTTATCTTCCTTTCCTGCGTCTTACTTCAAACTTCACCCGTTGCTGCCGGCACCCCGAGTGGTTCCAGTTTTTCCCCTCTCAAAAAAAAAAAAGCGGACAGACTTTTACTCGAATCCTGTCCACAGCGCGCAGTCAAGGTCGGCGTTTCAGTTTGACAGACTGGAGGAGAAGTTCAGCAGCGAGGAGAGCAAAGAAAGAGAGCAGAAGGGGGAAGGAGAGCGCACGCTGTCATGGTCGGAGCCTGCCGCGGAGGAGAGCCCGGCTGCCGGTGTGCGTCGGATGAGGACGAGTCCCGAGTTCTTTATGAGGAAACATTAGGATCTGACGTGCAGGCAGCGCAGCGCAGGTTGCCACCAAGCGGCCAGGCGCAAAAACACACTGTTACAACACTAGGAAGGGTTTTGTATTGCTTTCCACCTCACAAAAAAAAGGTGGAATGAATATAGTCATTTGTTTAAGTGATTTAAGGAACGCGTGCTTGTGTTGCCAGAGTAGGGTGACTGAGGGGAAATCATTGTAATACTTCTGTTGGGATTTACTATGTGTCGGACTTCATTGACCTTCTAGTATTTTAAATGTCTTATTGCATCATTACAATTATTTATATGTTGGCTACCTTTTAATCCAGTGATGGTAGGTTAGTGCAGCACACCTTCTTTTCTTTCTCTTTTTTTAAGGATGTTTGAGGACCATGTCATGGATGGAAAAATACATGAATGGCTGTGCTAAGTCTATACAAAAGCCAGGACTGAAACTGCTGCATGTTATCTCGTCTGTGTTGGAGAGGAAGGAGGAGAAGGAGAAGGGGTAAATGAATCAGTTCAGGACAGAAGGAGGAAGAGTGGAGAGAGAGAAAGGAGGGAGGGTGATAGAGAGTGACTGAGCAAATACTGTTGCCAAAATGACAGTATCAGTAAAGTGGAGGCTGAGGGAGAGAATGTGAGAGCACGACAGAGCAAATGTTCCCGTCTTGAAAATGACAGTGCCTTGCTAGGAGAAAGCAGGAGTGCTTTTTTGTTCGTTTTTTTGCGAATAGCGAGCCGCATTAAAGCCACCACAGGGCAGTAAGGAAATAATGCACCATGGTAATAGCTTCTGTTGTTTCTCGGCATGATTCTCTGGATCCTGATAGCTTTCTCCCTCTCATCCCCAAAATGTGATACCTTGCACACAATGTAATAATAAAGAGAGTTAACATCAGGGGAACCAAGACGGAGTGCTTCCTCGGCCACCCTCAGGACTGCTCAGGGACCCCATTATGATTTTTCAAAGTACATACTGTGACTAAACTCAGCAAGAGGGCAATTTAGTAAACCATGGACACAATATTTGAGCCACAGCATTTCAAACACAACTTGCAAAAGTCCTTGGTTTATGTGGCTCTTTTTTCTGCACTCTTCTTTCTCCTACAGAGGCCAAAGCAGCCAGGTGTGAGCCCTTGTAGGTGAAGATGAGCAATATCTGATCACAGGTGCGATGGCAGCTTACTGCAAGCTGTACTCACCTCAGTCAGAGACACTTTTTTATCTGGCCCTAGAATTACACACAACTGGGAATGATGGTTCCCAGGTTATGCAGACTGCAATTATTTCAAGTAATCCTGACATTTGCCCAGGGCATCCATATTTAACACCTTAAACCAGACTATTGGATGCCATTTTTGGCACAGCAGAGGAGACAGAAAAGGGGGCATAGAAACATGGGAGGAATTGGAGAAAACACGTGTTCTTTCCTCAAAAGTGTTAGCTCTTAAACGTTTCACTCTAAATAACGCATTCTTTATTTTGTTGTCAATCTTAAAATAATTGCTCTAAAGGTTCAGTTTTTGAATGTTTTTCTCATTGTGCAGGCAGCCATTGATTTTCATTCATTTCTGTATCAAATGAAAAACAAGTCACTGACGACATGCATGTTTCAAGAGCCTGTTAATACATTTTCACACAGGAAGTGGAAATCAATGCTGCCTAGATTGGTATAAGTGCATATTAATTAGATGGCAGAGGGAATAGCTGTGATTCAAAGAATACACTGTTGTACATTTGCAGAGAAAATGAACATACACGTTAGCATGACTTTCATTCAGACTCTTCTTACTGACTGAAAATTCTACCATGCCAAAGTAAAAGAGGCAGTGAGAGTTTGAACTCCCCCCTGCACCTTCTAAGGCGTAGAGGAGAGCAACAGAGAACAAAGACAGGAGAGAAGAGGCATATTTGAACAACAAAGGGCATTAATGTTTAAAATCATTTCAGACCAAATCCCCGATCAACAGCTCTGATCTTCACCTCGGTTTTGCTGTGAGGATTGTACCTCAGATACGGTGAGATCAAGAATACACACAGACACATGAAATCAGAGAAATGGTCTGTTGCCTGCCCATTTTTAAAGGTAGAGGTCAGAAATCCAAACAGGAAGAAAGACCTGGGGGGAAGACTGGAGCGCTGCTGAGAGATCTGTGAAGTGGACTTCCACACACACACACACACACACACACACACACACACACACACACACACACACACACACACACACACACACACACACACACACACACACACACACAAACACACACACACACAGTCACACACACACACACACACACACACTTATTCAAAACTGACCTCAATGAAAACCTAGAGGGTAACAGTGATTGCATTAACATCCAGTGATATTTGACTACAGGATAGCCAAGATCTATCAAAAAGTGACTAACACACATGCTGTGTCATTAAATGGTGGGTTCAATACTAGTTATTAAACATTTCTCACCCCATTAGCATTTCTCTGTCGATTAGAGGCAGTTTAAAGCGAGGCGACCGAGGAAAAGGGATCTTCTTAACCAAAACGAATGCTTCAATCCTCTCTTCCACCGCTCTGACCAATCTCACTGGAGGTTTAATGAATCGGAACAAGCAGGAGATAATGGGAACGGTAGCTCGTGGGAGGCCAATGGGGTGATGAGTGTTGCTTATTACCTCCAAGGGCAATTACAATAAAATCTGTCAAAGTCTACTTCTGATAGACAAAGAGTCATGGTTTCCTATTAGCCTTAGATAACCGTCTGAATAATCCCAGTCCATACAAACACACCGCCTCATTTAGAAGGATATCTTTTCAGCATTTTTCATTTGCAAGTTAGTGTATGATGATTTTGTGGAGGTTATAAGAGCATTACCATAAGCTGTGAGTAACCTGCGGTAACTGCTTCTCCTTTCTCTTTCAACCATTAGATATTAAATGGAACTTGAAAAGTAATTTACATGTGCATTTTTTTGTAAAATGAAGGAGGGTCAAAGAGTCATGAAATCCTTGCCTCAATATGCTTCATGAACTATAGGCAACATGAGGAATCTTTTCAACTTCCGCTTCCAAGGCCATGGTACTTCACTGTCATATTCACAGCAAGGAGGCAGAATTGCCTTGAGTTTGTGAAAAATAGAAAAAATCTAAAGTGACATTTACAAACCCTGATGGACAGTCTAATTTATGTAGGGATCTTTAATCGTGATGTAGGCATTTTGGCAGATGAGTAAAGAAAGAATCCAACTGTATTCATCAGAGAGAAAGAGAGATCAGTCAAAACGCAGCGAGAGGAAAGCGGAGCAGAACTGTTTGTGGAAGGGAGACAGATGGTAAAAATAGAAAATAAATATGTTAAACTGAAATGTGCCAACCTTGGCAAAGGAGGGTCTATAACACAGAGAGAAAGGTAACAAGGGTAGGCGTTTGGAAAAAAGCAAAGAAAAAAAGTTTGAGAGTAATGTTTCTGTTTTTGATTTGCGCAGAAATCAATTTTTCTAACTCCGTACCAGTATTTCCTTAACAGCTCTACACACAATTAGCCTACAATGCTAAAACTATTTTGGAATGTAAATTAAATGTGAGCTGAAGTATGACCAACCAGCACCTGAGCAGTGATTGCACCTGACTGCATAAGCACCTCAATCCCCATTTCACACATTCAAGGTTACAAATAAATCATGAAGCTTGGAGCACAATCAGATTTTAAAGGGTTGGTTCACCCAAACAAAAATATTAAAGTGAGGATTCTGCTGCTACCCCCAATACAGTTCAGTGGACTGAATGGTGCTCACAGCAATGTTGTCCAAAGTAGAACTGTTGCAGCATCCCTCCATAAATTAATGATGGTTTGTTTTGCATGAGTGTGATTTAAAAATACCATTAAGATTCTGGCAATGCTTAACTTACTCTTGGCAAAAAGCTCACAGAGTGTATGTTAGAAATGGCATGGACAGAGTGAATTTTCTTGGAAATGGCCTATAGAGTTTTTCAAGGTCAACATTACATACCTGTATCAGGCCTTGAATTGCTGCTTGTTGACGTCCCTATTCAACTGTATTCAGAATAAAACCCAGCAAAGTAACTCTTGTACACAATTGGCACATTGTACAGTTTAAGCTGTAAGAAATTATATGGTACAATACAAGCCTGTTTTGACAAAACGTTGGCTGCTAAATACTTTTTAATCAATCCAAGTACTCTGGTGATTCTTTATCTGGATGTTATCTTCAAGTAGAACAAGTGAGCTGAAGGGTATGAATACATGTTTGTTACACACACCTGCAACGTACAAACGTTTACAGACAAACAACACAGCCGTGACTGGGTCTGACAGATTGCCTGGGCCACAGAGGTGCAGCCACCATATAGCTCAAAAGTCCTCCTTCACTTTATCACTGGCTGGGGAAAATGAATATAAAGCCATGTCAAAGCTGAAATAGAGCGTCATTATTTTAGTCCAGATTTAATTCTGGGCTTGGCGCCCATCTGACACATCCAAATGTCACCCAGACATTCTGCCTAAAACCTGCTCTGTGTTGAAAGGATGCCAAACACTGACATCATCTGCGTTAGTGCAGGTTCTGCCGTAACCCTTATTTGCAAGACATTTGAGTTTTGCCTTTAAACGGGACCTATTATGCAATTTTTGATGTCTTTTATACATAAATATGTGTTCCCAGTGCGTCAGAAAATAAAACCCTCTCTCTTTTCATCCGTACCCAAATCTTTAAAAACGGGGGTACAACGGAGCTGATCCAGATTTGCGTCCGATATGATGTAATAACGACAATGCGGACCCACACAGCACTATCAGAAACAATGCCCGACTATTTTGGACATAATATGGTCTTTGTTTACATTAGCAAGCATCGCTAACACTCAGAGTTAACGCAGTACTGGAGAGAGCACATGTGTAAAACAGCAGGAAATTAAAAAAGAAACTCGCCTTTTGGTAAACCGGCAAGAGAAAAAGCATTTGAGCTCCAT